TTGGGGTAAAAATAATGTTTTGATTTCTTTGACTATCATGGCAATGTTATTATCTCAAATCTTAAACGTGCGCATATGAAAAACATAGATTATCCTGCCGGTAGAGCACATCACCTCAAAGTTGTGAACTTGCGATCACCTCAACTTACATTTAACATTTGTTTACCTGGTTTATTGTAAACTTTTTAAGTGCAAAGAGGATTCGTTTTGGAAAATAGAATTGAAGAAATGAAAGACAACTAAAATGAAAGCACAAACATTCAGTACAAATAAGTAGTCTTAAATATATAAATAAATAAATAAATAAAATAAAGCAGTCTTTTAGTCTAAATATAGAGAGATGTAGTGTTTGCTATTTTGATAGGACTAAGACAAGACCTTTTCATTTATGTTTTTAATTTACGTTTTTATTTACATTTTCGTTGTTGATTATATTTTACTATCTCATTTTATGTTTCAATTATAGTACATAATAATAATTGAATAATGAAAATAAATGAATAATGAAAATAGGACATAAATTAAGTCCGGCAGGTTTATTTTTTATAATTTAGTTTCAGTTCCTTTTTTGTTTCAAAACGTCAATGTTCTGCTTTAAAGTATAACTGTTGTTTTGTTTTGTTTTTTCTTAATGGCTCAGTATGTTTTGTATTTTAATTTCATATTCAGTCACCTTGCATATGCGTGTGAAATATAATGCTGCATAACCGCGGAAAAAGAAGAAAAGGCTGTCAGTTAAAGCTAATTAATCAAAATTAGCTATATTAAAATACAGCATTTATGTTAATACAGGCAGAGTGTGAACAAACTCAAGGCTAAGATATGTGCTTGTCTTTTAATGCATTTAAAAATATTTGCGGCCTTTTTATAGGCTACAGACTACTATGGTGTATAATAATGTTTTTTTTTTTTGTATGTTAATGGACAATGCACATTATGTTATTGATGTAAACTTAGGCTAAAACTTACCATTGATAAACGTGACCTACCTCAAGCAGATCACTTAAAGTGTAATAAAAATAATGTTGCCGCAGGACATACATGAAGTCCCGCAAGTTCATTTTTAATAATTTAGTTTCAGTACTATTAATTTTTTTTTTCTCAAAACGTCAATAGCACCTTCAATAATCTAAACATTAAAGATGGACCGCAAGATGTGTTGAGTGGCTATATGTGGTGAAGAACGATGGCAAAGCTAAGTGTGATTATTGTAATAAACTAATAAGTTATAAAGCAGATTCCCGACCAACATGACTAAGCATATGCGGTTGGCTCATTCTTCACGAATATAGAATCAAAATAATGGTGCGTTAGGTTCATTGTGCATCCCGCAGGTGCAACCAACAAGAGTTGTGCATTTTAGTTTAACTTTTTGAGCGTTATAAGCAGCTCGTTGTTAGTTTTTATTTAAATATATCGAGCCGAAACTAAGCTTCGCATTCTCTCCGCCTCCTCGTTTATAACCAGCGGGACACGCTACTGAAGCAGGAGAGACACTCTGTCGTTCATAATCTTAGCTGATGTGTCGGAGTCGAAAGAATATATCAAAGAGGAATGTTATTTTAACAGTCCCGATATGTTTAATCTTTTTTTCCCTGTCATTTCTCTTCAGCAAATTATATTTTTAAAGCTGCTTGATTCTTTTAAAACCGAAAGCAGAGCCCGTCAATTGGTGTTTTTTCATAAGATACTCCTTTATGAATGTTTTATTTTATAAGTAGTCATTAATCCCTGCTGAAAAAACCAGCAAAGACCAGCATGATTTTCATGATTTTCATGCTGGTCTATGCTGGTCAATGCTGGTTTAGCTGGTCTACCAGCTTGGTCTTGCTGGTGATGCTGGTAGACCAGCTTGGTTTTGCTGGTTGACCAGCTTGGTTTTGCTGGTTGACCAGCTTGGTCTTGCTGGTAGACCAGCTTGGTCTTGCTGGTGGACCAGATTGGTCTTGCTGGTGATGCTGGTAGACCAGCTTGGTCTTGCTGGTGATGCTGGTAGACCAGCTTGGTCTTTCTGGTGAAGCTGGTAGATAAGCTTGGTCTTGCTGGTAGACCAGCTTCGGCTTGCTGGTCAGGCTAGTCTACCAGCTTGGTCTTGCTGGTCATGCTTGTCTACCAGCTTGGTCTTGCTGGTTATGCTGGTAGACCAGCTTCGGCTTGCTGGTCATGCTTGTCTACCAGCTTTGTATTGCTGGTGATGCTGGTCTATGTTTGGTGGACCAGCAAGACAAAACTAATCCCAGCAAGACCAGAAAATGTTGTGTTTTGGTGCTGGTGACCAGCATGGGATGCTGGTGACCAGCATCCCAGCACCAGCATTTCATGCTGGTCACCAGCATAGCACCCAGATCCCAGCAAGACCAGCATGTGTTTTGGTGCTGGTGACGAGCATGGGATGCTGGTGACCAGCATGGGATTGCTGGTCACTAGCATACCAGCGCCAGCATCCCAGCAGCATCCTATGCTGGTCACCAGCATCACAGCACAAGCATCCCATGCTGGTCACCAGCATAACACCAGCATCACAGCACCAGCATCCCATGGTCACCACAGCATAACACCAGCATCACAGCACAAGCATCCCATGCTGGTCACCAGCATAGCACCAGCATCCCATGCTGGTCACCACAGCATAACACCAGCATCACAGCACCAGCATCCCATGCTGGTCACCAGCATAACACCAGCATCACAGCACCAGCATTCCATGCTGGTCACCAACATCACAGCACCAGCATCCCATGCTGGTTATCAGCATACCAGCACCAGCATCCCATGCTGGTCACCAGCATACCAGCACCAAAACACAACATATGCTGGTCTTGCTGGTGACCAGCAATGCTGGTCTATGCTGTTTTTTTTCAGCAGGGATGTGCTTTTTAATAGTTTTATTTTATTCAAAGCAGCACCTAAAAGCGAATTTATCCTCAAAACGTGGCATGAGAGCGATGCATATCATGTGTCGCATATATTGCCTTTTTTCCCTGCGCGTGCGCGATCAATTTCTGATCTTTTTGCAACTAAAATGAAAGCATAAACATTCAGTATAAATAAGTAGTCTTAAATAAATAAATAAATAAATAAATAAATAAAGCAGTCTTTTAACCTAAATATAGAGAGATGTTCAGTGTTTGCTATTTTGACAGGACTAAGACAAGACATTTTCATTAATGTTTTTATTTCTGTTTTTACTTACATTTTCGTTGTTGACTATAGTTTACGGTCCCACTTTATATTAAGTGTCCCTAACTACTATGTACTTACATCAAAAAATAAATACAATGTACTTACTGAGTTTATAATGTATTTGAGAACACTTGTGGTGCTTTTGAGTTGGGATAGAGGTTGGGTTATGGACAGGTTTGGTGGCATGGGTAGGTTTAAGGGTAGGTTAAGGTGTAAGGGATGGTCAACATTGTATTTACAAATGTAATTACAAAAGTTAATTACAGATGTAATTACATACATGTATTTAATCAAGCATAAGTACATGGTAAATACATTTATTTACACAATAAGTACATTGTAACAAACTATTAATTCCTATTTAAGTACATATTAGTTAAGGCCACTTAATATAAAGTGGGACCTAGTTTACTATCTCATTTCATGTCTCAACAATTGTAGATAATAATCAACGAATAATGAAAATAAATGAATAATGAAAATAGGCCTAAATAAATAATTTATTTAAAGACATTGCCAACATTGAGCTTAAGTTGAATGCTGCTTTATCAAAAGCAAAAAAAATAAATAAATTGACCTACCTTAAGCAGACAGAAATCACCTTTGAAATCACCATTTCACCTTTGAAATCAGAAGACAGAAAAGGGTTTTGCTTCACACAAAAATGTAAATTCTGTCATAATTTACTCTCTTCACCTGTTCCAAACCTGTTTGTTTTTGTTTCTCCTGCTGAACACAAAATAATATATTATGAAGAAAGCTGGAAACCTTTAACCATTGACATCGGCAGTATCTGGTTTTCCCACTAAACGACTGGAAGTCAAAGGTTACAGGTTTCCAGCTTTCTTCAGAATGTATTCTTTTGTGCTCAACAGAAGAAGTAAACTCACAAAGGTTTGAAGCCACATGAGACTGAGTAATAAACGGGTACATTTACATGGGTACATTGGTCAAAAGTAGGATTTTTAAATGTTTTAAAATAGGCTTATCCTGCTCAGAAAGGCTGCATTGTTTTCATCAAAAATACAGAACAAGTTGTAAAATTGTTTAAATGCTTTTGCACTATAAAGTAACTGTTATAAAATGTAGTTTATAATTTAATTTGATCCTTTATTCCAGTGAGCTTCATTACTTCAGTCTTCATGGTCACATGATGCTTCAGTAATCACTCTAATAATAATTATTAATTATTATTATTATTATTATTATTATTATTATTATTATTAATGATAATAGTAATAAAAAGCAATTATGACTGGAGTAATAATTTCATTTAAAACTACATACAACAAGAAAGCAGTTATTTACAATTTTAATAAATATTTACATTTTTTTACATTTAATAAATGCTGCCTTTATGAACAGAAAAAAAATTTAAACAATTAATAATAAAATAAATAAAATCTGACCCCAGAATTTTTGACGGTTAGTGTACATTTTTGGGGTCACTATCCTTTTAAGAACCACTACAAATTAATGTTTAATATTTCAAGCTGAAAATCTATAAGGCAGAATTGTGTTTTACAAAATATTTCATTTGAATGTAAATGTAAAACTACAGTAGAACTGAAAAGCGGTAAGATATAACAACAAAAACACTTCAAGGATTAACAGTCAGCATTACACCGAGTCAGGGCACTTGGCAACTGTCAATAAAGCAACTATACACAAGTTACATTTTAGAGCTGACAGAATTTGAGACTGACATATACTCAATTGTTAAGAAGGTACTTACTGAAAATCATTGCAGTTTATTTGTGCCTCACCCAGCAGTAGTGGCTTCATGCCACGATTACAATAAAAAAAGAAAAATAGCATTCTTCATACAGTAAAAATTTAATACCAATTAATAGTTGCTTAAAGTAATTGGAGAGATCGGTATGGTCAAACCACAGGTTAGACGTCAATATTACAGGTGTGAATTCACAGTATTTTACTGTGTCCCACATTATGTTAGCAGTGCTTAATTTGTAAATGAATAATTCCCGGAACAAAAGGAAATAAAAGTTACCGAGACCAACGTCCACCAAACAAATTCACTTTTCCCAGAATATTAAATGATGGAAAGAGGATCACATTTCTGAACATTTTTTTTATTATATTGTGCCATAAAACATTATAGGTCAGTCATGAAAAAAAACATGTATCTGTAGCTACAAACATAAATCGTATAAACAATCGCTCTTCAGTTCACTTCACTATGTGCCAAGTGGAAAAAGTCAGTCCCAGTTTAATCTTCAAGAAGAGCCCACAGTTACCTCTTCTGTCATGTTGTCTAGATGACTTGAGATCGCTTTGCTTCTGTCTCCCACTATCCTGATCTATTCGCACAGTTTCATTACAGAGTTTCATTACACTTCTGTTTGATAAATTGACTGAGCACAATTTAATATGTTTGGTGAATATATATTTTCCAGACCACCAGATAAAATTAATACAGTGGATAGTTTTTTGTTTGATTGTTGTTGTTTCAAAAAGTAATGTCTGTTACAATTTGTGCATATGGTACAGGCAGGTAAAAACATATCAGCTGTGTGATAGTTGACTCTGTAAAATCACACCTGTGATATCTAATAGTGGTCAATTTTTAATGTAAGATATGTGTTTTCAGAGAGCTTTCGGTGGTACTTTACCCAATAAATGTCTTTTGGTGTTTTCCTCTGGCCTAAATACAATAACGAAACACTTTGGAGCAAAAATAAGGAGAATCAGACTAAAGCTCGAAGCTAAAATGGCAAAAATTTCTACAGCCACAGTAAATTTACCTGGAGAACTGACATAAGCTGGAACAAATGTGATCCATACAGCACAGAATATGAGCATACTGAAGGTGATGAATTTAGCCTCATTAAAGTTATCAGGCAGCTTCCGGGCCAGAAAAGCTAAAACAAAACATAGGAAAGCTAGGAGGCCTATATAACCCAGCACAGCCCAGAAACCAACAGCTGACCCTAAACTGCATTCTAAAATGATCTTGTCTTTGTAGTGCTGCATATTCTTGTAAGGAAACGGTGGAGATATTGTTAACCAAAGCACACAAATAATAATCTGTACAAGAGTGAAACCAAAAACGCTGAGTCTCTGTTGAGGAGGCCCAAACCATTTCATGACATTACTTCCTGGAAGTGTAGCTTTGAAGGCCATTAACACCACTATTGTTTTCCCCAGAACGCAAGAGATGCAGAGGACAAAAGTGATCCCAAAAGCTGTGTGACGCAACATACAGGACCACTCAGTGGGCTGACCGATGAAAGTGAGTGAACAGAGGAAACACAGAGTCAGTGAGAAGAGCAGCAGGAAGCTCAGCTCAGAGTTGTTGGCTCTCACTATTGGAGAAACTCTGTTTTTATAAAACACTAAAGCCATACTTAAAGCCACTAAAGAGCCAGCAATAGAGAAAGCAGCTAGGGTATTCCCAAGGATCTCATCCCAGGACAGAAACTCCACTGGCTTGGGAAGGCATTTGATCTTCTCAGCATTGGGCCAGTAGTCAGGTTGGCATTTGTGACAATCTAATGAATCTGGAACATGAAAAAACAAATGTTCAGCTGTCATTCAAGATCCATAGCAATAAAACAACAGTAAGGTATCAGATTATGTTTTATACATAGTGTGTGTGTGTGTGTGTGTGTGTGTGTGTGTGTGTGTGTGTGTGTGTTATGCTATACAGCTTTGCACTACTTGCCTAAAGTTTTTAGTCAACAATGGCCCAATCCCAATTCTACCCCTTAGCCCTACCCCTTACCTCTAGTCCTAGGTTTGTGCATTCACGTGAAGTGGTAGGGGCGTCCCAATTCTCTTTATCGTAAAAGCATAGGGCTAAGGGGTAGGGCTAGATAGCCCTCGAAAGAGAGATTTGTCAGGACCACACTCGAAACCAAGGGGTAAGAAAATTTCCCAGAATACACCAGCCATTTGTCATTATTACAAACTTTTACAACAAACAAACAAACAAACAAACAGTTGAAGTCAAAATTTTTAGCCCCCCTTAGATTTAATTTTTTTTTATATTTTCTAAATGATGTTTAGAAGAGCAAGAACATTTTCACAGTATGTCTGATGTCTGATTATAATTTTCTTAAAGAGAAAGTGTCAATTTTTTCCCCGAATGGTCTACAGAACAAACCATCGTCAGACAATAACTTGCCTAATTACCCTAGTTAAGCCTTTAAATGTCACTTAAAGCTGTATAGAAGTGTCTTGAAAAATATCAAGTAAAATATTATTTACTGTCATCATGGCAAAGATAAAATATTAGAAATGCTAGAAGCTAGAATAGCTAGAAATGCTATTAGAAGCTATTAGAAATGAGTTATTAAAACTATTATGTTCAGAAATGTGTTGAAAAATCTTTTTTCCATTAAACAGAAATTGGGGAACAAATTTAACAGGGGGGCTAATTATTCAGGGGGCTAATGATGCTGACGTTGACTGTGTTTTAATACATCCATAACCGCGTTTGTGTTTTACCGTCATACTTTAAAAAATAAAATAAAATAACGCTTAAATAAAAAACGCTAAATTTCGCTATCTATGATCCATAATAATAACTTCTTTACAGCAGTCCCACAGCATTCTGACACTTGAATACCCTGTCAGAAATGTCTAGTGGCTGGGAATGACCTCTTTACAGTGTCTGCTATTATGCTTTTTCTTGTGTTTACATAGATGAATATGGCCAGGGTGTAAATGCACAGAACAATCTTAAGCTTTTTGCCACATTATGATAACATGATATCGTTGCCTTCAGTGATTTCCTGAAGATACATACCAAAAAATAACGCAACTGGAATAATTACAGCGGTTGCGATCATCTGATCTCATATGAAGCAAGAGATCGCGATGACATATTATGATGATGGCATGTGCAGGTGTTGTAGTGTTGTCCCATTTCTTAAGGGTAAATTTGGAAGCCCTTCTCCTTTACACTCTGTTGGAAGGGCCAAGGGGTAGGGGTACAAAAATAGAATTGGGATTGGGCCTGTTGCATGTTTGAGGAAAACTACTTGCATTCAAGTGCTAATAAAACATGAACACATGATAATAGAATACAACGTTTTTTTTTGGATTTGTTTTGTTTTTTGCTCACAGTTTTTTTACAATCGTTTTGCTACAAATTTCAGAACTCTGATGTTATTTTTCAAAACTCTAAACAGTCACATCAATTCAATAAACAATCATTAAATATTGATGTTTCAAATATATGATACAGCTTGAACCAAAATTAAACGTATTGTATATTTTAAACAGCAATTTTTAATGACTGTTGATGGTTTATTGAAACGATACGCGTCTTGTGTGCTGGTGATCTAAAGTAATGTTCCTGTGGTATTTATATGATAAAAGGATTATGTGAATTAACGATCCCGCAAATGCAAGACTAAAAGCTTTGTGTCTAGAGTTTTGATAATTGACATCAGGGTTCTGAAATTTGTGGCAAAATGATTGTAAAAAAACTTTAAATAAATACTCAGTTATTTCCTATGTATCTTGTGAGTAGCATTTTGAAATGTGATTAATTTTATGTTAAACTGTGTTATATTGAACTGGTGATTTTATGAGCACTGTATCGTTGACTTGTGTGTATTGTATCCAAGCATTTTAAAAATGAGTTTAGAGTTTGGAATTTTGTGTCTAGAGTTTAAAAAATTAACATCAGGCTTCTGAAATTTGTGGCAAAACAATTGAAAACTGTATTAAGTATTAAGCAACTTGCATTACTCTTGATGCATAGTTTTATGGAAAAAAGATATATTCAGCAATATAAAGCAATATTACATGTTTAGAAGATGAATGTTTCAGGATAAATAAAATTACATCATAATCGCAGAAGATGACTAAGCAGGGTCCGTGTACCATTCGTTCATTTGATTATTCCTTTTATTCTGGAAAACGAAACTACAGAAAAACAGTCAATATTTTGTTTTTCTGTTTATTCTGTTGGCACAAAAAAGCGCTTCTGTTTTCCTGTTTTTAACTCAAAACGGAGAATTAAAACAAACAATAAAAATAAAATAACAAGGCATTTATCCGTTTGATCAAAAAACGGACACCAAAAAAAAAAAAAAACATGATTTCAAGGTGTGTGTCCGCACGAGATGGAGACACCCCTTTTTCTGCCGATTGGTCAATAGCTATAGGATTTAAATCAAACCTATACTATTGGATGTTCAAAATAATATATGAAACTTGCATATATACATAAACTTGCACGCATACATCCACATATATGCGCACATACATATAAACTCGCTAAATGCAAACACACCTATATGCACTGCATATACACTTATAATTTACTCATACACCTATGCTATTGGATGTACAAAATATACGAGCCTTGCATATAAACCTGATGTACTTATACACCTACATACACTCGCACATAAACACACTACATGCAAACACACACTCGCATATACATATAAACTAGATCTATGCATAAGCGCCCAAAAACTCTTGCATATGAATATAAACGCAATGCGTGCATAAACACCCAAATAACATTCGTGCAAACATACAAAATAAAATTCACAAAAGCAAATACAATAAGTTGTGAACATGCAAGTGATTTGATATGTGTGTGTGTGTGTGTGTGTATGTGTGTGCGCATAAACTTCTAAAAAGTCACTTGAGTGGACAAAATCATTATTTATCATATAAATAATAATTAATAAGCTTATGAAATAGAAATAATCTGATTAATAGATGAATTATATCTGTTGAATAATAAAAATAGATTATGCTAAATATAAATATATATATATTAAAAGATAATGCTAGGAATGCTCCAGCTAATTTTAAAGGTTTATTATGCAATTCAATTATTGGAAAGCAATGGGTTTAATAAAGAAAATGCTGATAAAAAGTTTCCTTTCATTACTTTGGTTAAGCTAACCCCCATGAACTAGATATATATAGTTGAAGTCAGAATCATTAGCCCCCTTTTGATTTTTTTTTCTTTTTTAAATATTTCTCAAATGATGTTTGACAGAGCAAGGAAATTTTCACAGTATGTCTGATAATATTTTTACTTCTAGAAAAAGTCTTATTTGTTTTATTTTGGCTAGAATAAAAGCAGTTTTTAATTTTTTAAAAAACTATTTTTGGGACAAAATTATTAGCCCCTTTAAGCTAATTTTTTTTCGATAGTCTACAGAACAAACCATCATTATAGAATAACTTGCCTAATTACCCTAACCTGCCTAGTTCACCTTATTAACCTAGTTAAGCCTTTAAATGTCACTTTAAGCTGTATAGAAGTGTCTTCTGGACACTGCTTCTTTTATGTTTAATAACTATATTTTATGGCCCCTGGCATCCAGCATTTTTGTGCATTAGCCTGTTTATTGGTAACAGGCAAACCCATTTAGAAAGTGCATTCCTGCCATCTACTGGGCATAAGTGTGTATTGTAACCCTTGACGAATCGCAAAATCTATAAAATATCAAACATAAAAAACTAAAATAAATATATTTTATTCTAAAAAATTACTTAAGCAACTTTATATTTATTAAACCCATTGCTTTCCAATAATTTAAGTGCATAATAAACCTTTTTGCTGGAGCATTCATAGCATTATCTTTTTATATTTTTATATATACACGTATATATACGTTTCATATATTTTGAACATCCAATAGTATAGGTTTATATGCAAGTAATTTATAGGTGTGTTGATAAGCGAAGTTGATTTAAATCCTATAGCCTCATAGCTATTGACCATTCTGCAGAAAAAGGGAAGTGGTGCTCGCTGCAGAGCCATTTGAGCAGAGCTGAGCTCCAGCGAGGGGGAGCATGAGCTCTCGCTCTGCCTCCTGTAAGCTGTTTTAATGCGTACACCAACCCCACCCCTAACCCTACCCCCAGTGACATCACTCGTAAAAGAAGTGCAAAAAAGGTGGAGCTCAAGCTCAAGCTCCCCCTCGCTGGAGCTCAGCTTGCCCAAATGGCTCTGCAGCGAGCACCCTCATGTTGAAATCTTGCTTTTTTTAGTGTTCATTTTTTGATCAAACGAATAAAGGTTGTTATTTTTGTTTCTGTTTTGTGATTGTTTTAATTCTCTGTTTTGAGTTAAAAACAGGTAACAGGTGATCTTTTGTCTTTTTTGTGTGTGCCTACAGAACAACGGAATATTGACTGTTTTTCTGGTGTTTCGTTTTCCAGATTAAAAAAAAATAATAATCAAATGAACTGATGGTACACAGATCCAAGCAGGCCTATATTATCTATAGATTGAATCCTTATTCTTCATCGGATTTGGTTTATATATTCCATGTACCACTTTTACAACCAATACTTTCATTCATTCATTCATTCATTGTCTTTTCAACTTAGTCCCTTTATTAATCCACGGTTGCCACAGCGGAATGAACCACCAACTTATCCAGCAAGTTTTACGCACCGGATGCCCTTCCAGCCGCAACCCATCTCTGGGAAACATCCACACACACTCATTCACACTCATACACTATGGACAATTTAGCCCACCCAATTCACTTGTACCGCATGTCTTTGGACTGTGGGGGAAACCGGAGCACCGGGAGGAAACCCATGTGAACGCAGGGAGAACATGCAAACTCCACACAGAAACGCCAACTGACCCAGCCGAGGCTCGAACCTTCTTGCTGTGAGGCGACAGCACTACCTACTGCGCCACTGCGTCACCCAATATTTTCATATTTGAATATATTCCAGTGTGCAAGAAAGCCTAATCACAGCAGAACAAAGTCAAGACACGATAGGCCAGAAGGTTCTTTCAGTGATGTATGGCTGATGAATACATGCACTGTGATGTGGAGGAGAACCTGTGGCCAAATCCACAAGACCAGATAGAAATACAGATCCCAAAATAGAAATCTCATTCATTGATCCATTTTCCTTCGGCTTAGTTTTCAGGGGTGGCTACAGCGGTAAGAATTGCTAACTTATCCAGCACGTTTTATGCAGTGGATGTCCTTCAAACTGCAACCCGGTACTGGGTATATGGCTGGATATGAACACACACATTCTAGTGGTTAAAAAAATGTAAATGGTGATTTTTTTTTATAATATTTGGACAATTATTAATTTATATACAGTATCTGAATCCAAGTGTAATTTTGATATGAAGTCATATATCATACCATATATCAGCTTTCTATATGGGGACCTTTATTAAAGTTTTTTTTTTTTTTTTTTTTTTACAATAAACCTACAGTTGAAGTCAGAATTATTAGCCCCCCTGTTTATTTTTCCCCCCACAATTTCTGTTTAGCGGAGAGAAGATTTTTTAACACATTTCCTAACATAATAGTTTTAATAACTTATCTCTAATAACTGATTTATTTTATCTTTGCCATGATGACAGTAAATAATATTTTACTAGATCTTTTCAAGACACTTCTATACAGCTTAAAGTGACATTTAAGGCTTAACTAGGTTTATTGTGTTAACTGAGCAGGTTAGAGTAACTAGGCAAGTTATTGTATTATAATGGTTTGTTCTGTAGACTATCGAAAAAAAAATTCCTTCAAGGGGCTCATAATTTTGTTTTTATAATGTTTTTTTTTATTTATTTATTTATTTTTTTTATTAAAAACTGCTTTTATTATAGCCAAAATAAAACAAATGACACTTTCTCCAGATGAAAAAAAATATTATCAGACATACTGTTAATTTTTTTGCTCTGGTAAACATCATTAAGGAAATATAAAAAAAAAAAAAAGAAAAAAAATCAAAAGGGGGCTAATAATTCTGACTTCAACTGTGTGTTATGATTGCATAAATAAAACTTTCAGTTTGAATTTACTGACTGTTTGTGGCAAAACAATTACAAAAACTAATTTAAATTGAGTTGATATCTTGTAACTACTAGTGCATCTTTATAACAAAGTGTCATATAAATAAATAAATAAACATAAACAACAATTTGCATGTGTGATTGAAATGTACCCTCTAAAATGATGCATTGTTTCAATGAAAATTTGGATAAAAGTTGGACTAACCCAACCCTTAGGTTAAACCTTAGGCTTTTATTTAAAAATATTGATTGGGTTATTTTACAATAATTTCAGTTGAGACAATTCAGCATTTTTAGATTATATGTGCAGAATAAAAGACCTGTTTCATTGTTGATCTCCCCATCGGCACAGTTAATGCAGTCATAACAGCAAACAGGTCTTCCTTTTTTTACAGCCTTCCGAGTACCCGGTGGACAGCTTTCACTGCACACAGACACAGGCACCTGCAGGTGACAGATGAACAATAATAATATCATGAATAATGAATAATATCAGAGTCAAAAATCTATTAGAGTAGTCCATAACATTCAGCAGTTATTATCGAACACATTTAATACCTTTTCAGTGCCATCATACCAAATGATAGCTCTGTTCAGGCTGAATTCTTGGCCTTTAGGCTGGGATGCATCATATTTGCCCACTGTCACAAAATCAATTGAACCATCTCCTTGAAGCTGCCAGTTCACAAGCTCATACACGGCCACAGGGTCTCCATTAGCATCAAACGAAACAGAATAATTATTTTTAGAAAAATTCACTTGCTTAAGTTGATCAGAAACCTGCATGATGAACATAACGGTTATGGTTAAATATGTGCTATAGGTACACCTACACACAAATATGGTAGCCTGTTTAATATTATATCACACACAAAAATGGAGTCAAAATAATTAGCCCTAAAGTGAAGTTTTAATTATTTTATAAATATTTTCCAAATTGTTTAAAATATTTTTTCAGACTGTTGTAATTTGAATAGTCAGTTACAAATATTACAACATTGTTCAAGACTGCAGTAAAGTTTATGGCTGTACTGTAGCACGAATACGATGTAGCATTATTAAATATGGTTTAAAATTGCATTGTTTAAAAAAAAAAAAAAGAATTCAATTAAAAGGTTCAGTTGTTCCACTCTTAGAAAATGTACCTTTCGGGGCTCTACTTTGATGTTTTTGTCACAAAGTTTTCCGTTGCAGACAATACCATGGAGTGCATGAGCTATAGCATATGTGGCTTTGTATACCATGTTAGAGATGCGCAACTGGGACGTGTCTGTGTACGGGTTCTTTAACGTGCCAAGGTCCTCTGTGCCATCGCATGCGGGCATGCCAGAAAAATAACCTGTGTGTTGTTTTAGACTACAGCCAAATGAGCTTTCCCAAAATTCTTTCAGCACAGGAATCTTTAGCGCCTGCTCTGAAGACAAATCAAGAAGAAATTTACGGAAACCAGGAATTACGGACCGAGGGATTGCAAAACCAACAGCACCAATACTCAAATTAAACCGCAGCATCTGTGGGTCTGTAACCCACGCCTCGCTGCCGATCCATTGCATCGGAGGAGGAGGCTGTTGGCTTAGCTCTTCTAGGAGAAATCTCATGTCTCCTGCAGCCATGAAGGCAACAATGACACGAGCCGTTGACCTTCGGATCACATCAGCGACTCTTTGAAGTTTGTTGCGCGTTTGAGTCCTGTAGTAGGCCTCAGAATATTCCACACAAATTCCCTCCACCTCCGCGGCTTTCAAGAATGATGCCATGCCATTGTTCCCGTAGTCTGAATCACTGCGCACAGCCCCTATCCACGTCCACCCGAAGCGCTTGACCATCCGCGCCAGTGCGGCGGCTTGATGGTGATCACTAGGGATTGTCCTGAAGAAAGTTGGGTGCTGTCGCTTGTCACTGAGACACGCGCATGTTGCGTAATGACTCACCTATTTAATGCACCGTAAAGAAGAATAATTAATAAATAATTATAAATAATAATATTAGTCTAATAATAATAATTGCCTTATTGCATTTATTTATTTTATTTATTTTTATTTTGCAAAACAGTGAAAACAATTTACAAGCTTAAAGATTACACAACAAGCACCTGCGGAATTCCAAAAGGGCCGAAAAGTCTTGAAGTGGTTATTGCCGCGGTGGAGCCAGATTCTCCAACTAGTGCGAGAACTTCAGAGGATTGTGCACAGGAGTCAGTGTCGTTAAATGCGAGTTGTAGTCCGTTGGCAAGCTGCACAGCTACTTTTATTACCATTGGCACAGAAGCACATGAGTCATATATATGATATCCTAATGTGATTCCCGGCAAGAGATTGGAGCTGTTGTTGATCTCTTGGATGGCGAACTGCAAGACGCGAGCAAAGCGCAGCTCTCTGAAATCCATGCTGAAGAAAAACGCAGAAAACAACAACTTATCATCACTTATTATTATAACACTTATAACTTATAACTCTCGTGTGCTAAAATAAACAAAAATAAAAACATAAGCATCTGCTGGAATTTTGTCAAACTAATGCACTCTAACCTGCCACTGCACATTAGTGGTTGGGGCCGTACAGTGTAGGTGCGCTTCTCTGTCCTCAGATAGTAATGAATGGTAAAAGTCCCTCCAATAACAAAATCTCCTTTGCTGAAAAGTGAAGGTGGCTGGGGGTCACCTTGAAGGATGCAGGTGCCTAAATGAACTCCACATACAGCAGGGAAAAGCCTTCTAATACAGAGCAGAGTCAAGATCAATAAAAGATTAACATGCATTTCTTTTACTAGGCAAACTACCCATCCAAGTGAGATCCGCATTATGCCTTGTTTAATATACCCATCAGCCACTACTGTTGTATCTTGTAACTCTCTGGGTGTGGTTAATATTTTATATCAGACAATAATAATAAAGATAATAATAATGTAATGTGTCCCATAAGTGTCAAAGTTGCTCGATCAGCACCAAAATGATGCCTTTAATGTCAGATGCAAAATCCTCTAAATGCCATCTGAAATTTTCTCCTAAAGTGGGCATTTTTCTCAAGCTCCTTCGTGTTTGTTCAGTAAATCCACCTTTATGGTAAAAAGTTGATATGTTCTTTACATTGCCTTTAAAGTGAAATAACTGAACAAAAACATATTATCCTGAGAAAAATGCTCATTTTTTGTGTACTTGGGTTCTGTAGTAGGCCTCAGAATATTCTACACAGATTACCTCCACCTCCTCAGCTTTCAGGAATGTTGCCATAATAATACTAATTTCTATATTATAATAATATTATTATATATATTTCTAAACATATTAGGTTTACTAAATAATTTCTAATAACTTAATTCTTTTATGTATGCCATGACAATATATATATATATATATATATATATATATATATATCGGGTGCTCCAGTTTCTCCCACAGCCCAAAGACATGCGGTACAGGTGAATTGGGTATAGGCTAAATTGTCCGTAGTGTATGAGTGTGAATAAGTGTGTATGGATGTTTCCCAGAGATGGGTTGCTGCTGGAAGAGCATCTGCCGCATAAAAACCTATGCTGTATAAGTTCATTCCGCTGTGGTGATTCTGGGTTAATAAAGGGACTAAGATGAAAATAAAATAAATAAATGAATGAATGAATGTGTTTTTATTACAGCCAAAATTAAATATTATAGTATTATAGTATATTATATTATAGTGTAAGGATGGCTTAATCTCTCCATAATATTAGACCCCGAAAACTGCTATGTAATTTCACAAGGCAAGAATACAATATTTGTCATGCAACAAAACAATAAACTTTCTACTCTGAGAAGAAGTTCAGGAAACTAGTTGTTCAATTATCTTGATCATGCATCCCTGCCCTCGACTTTATCTTCTCCACCAAAGCTGCTCACTCACATTCCACAGTTCCAAGTTTTCAATATGGCGTATCTTGTGGATCTATATTCATGTTTGGTATCATTTTAAATGATTCTGTGCTTTTATAAGATTATTGCAAGATGCTCCACTCCAGGGAAAATGAACTTCACATCAACTCATGACCAGACAAAGATCACTGTCTTGAATTTATGATTGTTTGTTGTGATTTGAATACTTAAGGAAAAGCACCTTTGTGCTTGTTAGTGTCTGTGGGATCTTGTACCCCATTGCAGTGTGCGAGTCTCTGAGCTCTGCATCATGACTTATAAGCTGCAACATACCTCTAGACAGTCAGGCATTCATCTTTTAGATTTTTCTTTGAGTAATTGATGTTGTACTCTTCTGAATTGGCTTATTTTTGTTTATGTAAATTGGCAAGTTTATGGTAAATCTTTACACGACAAATAAAATGTTATATTTGATTTTTTTTCTACTAAAATCATTTAAATCAAGTAGATTGTTTAGGCTGATCTTTCCACAGCCTTACGACCAAGAGTGCTCATACTGTAAATTCAGGCCCAAAAGATGGAGTATAGGCACATCATATGAGACCTCCTGATTTCTGACAATCACTGACCTAGTATGTATAATATAGTGGCAAAATCTACATTTCTTTACGTATGAACAAACATGCAGTGGCCCAATATTACCTAAAATAAATTAGTTTACAATTATACCTTCTATCTAAAAACTGGCAAGGTTGTGTCCGTGAGCTGATGGAACTGGCCAGCATACTGAGCGAGTTAGTCGAATATCTAAATTTATTCTTCATTTATGAATGTAATCTTTTTCTATTAGGAGCACATTTGAAATGTAATGATCCCTTGAAATTGGAGCCAGATTAAATTCAGAGATGGAAACAAATTTAAATAAATTCTAATAAACACAATATTCCTTTTCAGGTGTGCTAGAAAAGGTTTACACTCATTAAACCTTCACTATATATACTGTATATATATATATATATATATATATATATATATATATATATATATATATATATATATATATATATATATATATATTTGTGTGTGTGTGTGTATATATACATACAGTTGAAGTCAGAATTATTAGCCCCCCTGAATTATTAGCCCCCGTTTATTTTTTCCCCATTTTCTGTTTAACGGAGAGAAGAATTTTTTTTCAGCACATTTCTAAACATAACAGATTTAATACCTCATCTCTAATAACTGATTTATTTTATCTTTGCCATGAAGAGAGTAAATAACATTTTACTATATATTTATATGATATACTAAATACATATGATACTACATACATACATACACACACACACACACACACACACATATATATATATATATATACACACACATATATATATATACACACACATATATATATATATATATATATATATATATATATATATATATATATATATATATATATATATATATATATATAGACACAATAAGTTTGATGTTGATGTTACTATATTTTTGGGTTTTAAAAAATCCCTATAATGGTATATTTAAACAGTGTGTGTGTGTAAAGAAATACAATTTTCAATATATATTATTATAAATATTTTATTAAAATAGATAAAAATGCACATGGATGCATTTTTACTTGCCTTTGGTGGATTTGCTTTACACATGATTTTTCTCCTCTGTTTTGATTATTTATTTCATGATATTTTCAGTTGGATTATGGATTAAGGATTTTGTTGTGTATTATGATTATTATTTTTTCATTATGTTTGTACTGGATCTAATTAATGTTCAGCTTTATCACTTGTCTTTTCCCATGAGATGTTGTTTTGTGTTCTTCTCTGGCTTCACTAAAATGATATAAACCTTTGGGGTAAATAAACAAAGAAGCAGGCCAAAACTAGAGGCTAAAATGGCAAAAATCTCCACAGCAGTTGTAAATTTACCAGGTGAACTGACATATGCAGGCACAAAAGCCAGCCATACTGCGCAAAATATAATCATGCTGAAGGTGATGTATTTAGCCTCATTAAAATTACCTGGTAATTTCCGTGCCAGAAAAGCCAGAAAAAAGCAGACACAAGCTAAAAGACCGATATATCCCAGCACACACCAAAATGCCAGATCAGAGCCCACACTGCAATCCAGAATGATCTTGGACTGTTGATATTTAGTGTTTCTATAGGGAAATGGTGGGGATGCTACAAGCCAGACTGTACATATGAGCACCTGAATGAGAGTGCAGCAGAAAATGATGATTCTCTGCTGTGTAGGGCCCAACCATTTCATTAAATTGTTTCCAGGTCGGGTCGCTGTGAAAGCAGCCAGCACCACTAAAGTCTTTCCCAAGATGCAAGAGATGCAAAGCGAGAAGGTGATGCTGAATGCAGTGTGTCGAAGCATACAGGACCAAGATGTGGGTTCCCCGATGAATATCAAAGCACACAGAAAACAAAGAGTCAGTGATAACAAGATGAAGAAACTGAGTTCGGAGTTATTTATGCGTACTACAGGAGTGTTTTTGTAATAAAGAAACACGGAAAACACAGCTAATGTGAGGCAGGCTCCTGCTACAGCTATTACTGTCAGGGTTAATCCCATTGCATCATGGGACAGGAATTCAACCACTTTAGGAATGCACACTGTTCCATCAGCATTTGACCAGTAATCTTCAGAGCAGGCAATACAATCTAGTGAATCTAAAGAGAAAGAGGGAAAATTAAGTTGAAGGTCACTTTTTGCAAATTTATATACAAATTACTGAAGTTCTCTGACCTGTCTCATTACTGATTTTGCCACTGTCACATGGTACACAGTCAAAGCAGCACAGAGGCTGGCCACGACGAACAGCCTTCCTGAATCCCGGAGCACAGCTGTTGCTGCACACAGACACCAGCACCTGCTTAAACAACAGATCCATACATATATGGTTAGTTCATAAATACAAAAGCAGTATTTTTGTGTGTGTAAAATACAATTTTTTGAAAAAAAATAAAATATATATATATCCAGCACGTTTTACGCAGCAGATGCCCTTCCAGCCACAACCCATCTCTGTGAAACATCCACACACACTCATACACTACGGACAACGTAGCCTACCCAATTCACCTGTACCGCATGTCTTTGGACTGTGGGGGGAAACTGAAGCACCCGGAGGAAACCCACGAGAACGCTGGGAGAACATGTATATCATATATGTATATCACTCTCTTCTTCTTCTCTATTAAGTTATTGAGTTATTAAAACTATTATGTTAAGAAATGTGTTTAAACAATGTTCTCTTCATTAAACAGAAATTGGGGAAAAAATAAACAGGGAGCTAATAATTCTGACTTCAACTGTGTGTGTGTGTGTGTGTGTGTGTGTGTACATATCGTCACCTTGGAATTATAAGAATGATTTTAAGATATTGAGCTTTCAAGTTTTTGCATTCTAACAGATAACAGTTTGTGTGTAGCATTTGTTTTAAAATTAAAAGTCATAAAATGTTAACAACTTATTTATAAAAACATTCCATACTGTAAATAAGTTTATAAGAATATGTCAATAACTCAGTTTTGACAAAAATGTCAGATAGAACCTTATAATTCTAAGGTAACGACACACACACACACACACACACACACACTTATTATTTTTTTTTTTTGTTCGACTTGTCAGACATTTTCAATAAACAAGGACGTCACACTAAAGGACAGCAAACCTTTATAATTGTATAGTGTTGCCTAAAAAAGATCAACGTGACAAATTCTGAGACGAAAACTTGTCATGGCCTTCACAGGGGCTTCAGTCATATGTGTCACATGATCTGGAATCTTCAACTAATAATCTACGTTGTCAGTGGAATTGCCAAATTTAAAATTAGCATATAGTGTCACAGCAGAGGACATTGTTTTTAATGACAAAATGTATCAAGTCCCTATGTTCTTGGAAATATGTGGATAAAAATAATGTTTACCATTTAATAAAATAGACACTGCATGGATTTATTAATGATTTTTAATTAATTTCCTTTTAAATGTATGAATTGTCATTTATTATGCTTGAGTTTTGGCTGAAAAATTAAAGAAAAAAATATAATAACAGTAGTTTGAAAAAAAGTCCAAGGAACACAGAAATGTTTAACAATGACTACATTATAAATGCTGCCATTTATATTTGTTATGTGTGACAGTAAAAAATAAACATCATGTAAACCCATTAGAGAAATGCATATTAATAATTGGTAAATTAATAATGCTCCTTACAACTAAAAAGCATTAATTAAGTCACTAAATGTCTAGCTTCAAATTTACTTGAATAAATAAGAGACTACTGGATTAAAATAAAGATTATTTTCACCTTCGTTATTTCCTTCCCAGATGACAAATCTGCCATCTTTATTTAAGTCACTTACCTCCAATTGACCCTACAGAACTTCAGAACGTGGGATCTCATGTACTGTAATACACTGTGAGAACAGCTTGCCTCAGTCTGATGGCCGGGCCACATGATAGCCTCCTCCTTGATGACCAGCTCTTGGCCAGATTCAAGTGCACCATCGAACATGCCCACATTAATAAACTCAATATTTCCTGCTGAGCCCCTCTGCCAGTTTATGAGGTCATAGGATGGAATAGAATCACCTTTCATGTCAAAGTTCACTTTCTCTCCTGAAATAGTGAATGACACCTCTTGGAGATACTGTTGTAACTGAAATATTGTGATAAATTGATCAAATCAAGAACTATTTTTTTTTTGTACAGAGGTCATTTAACAAATAGCAACTTAAGAGTTAGTTCACCCTAAGGTTAAAGTTTACTCACTATGTACTCACCCTCAAGTGGATCCAAATCTTTACGAGTTTCTGTATTCTGTTAAACGCTAAAGAAGATCATTTGAAGAAAGCTGAAAACCTGTAACCAAGACTTCTATAGTGAAAAAAAAAAACAAATACCATGGAAGTCAATGGATACAGCTTTCTACAAAACATCTCATCTTGTGTTCAACAGAAAAAGAGAGTCACACAGGTTTGGAACAAGTAAAGGGTGACTAAATATAGCATTTTAATTTTGGGGTGAACTATCCCTTCAAGAACTCATTATTTTCAGTACCTGCCACGGGTAGATATGAGGTGCGTTTGCACATGTGGAGTTACTAAATGGTCCTTTTCCAGGGGTACAGTAAATAAGATTGTGCAGGGAATATGCAATGGCATATGCTGCTTTGTAGACATTATAGGAAATGCGAGGACTGGATGTGTTTAAATAGGCAGAATACTGCAGCCTAACAGTCTCCTTCCCTGTACAGGATGGCAAGTGACTACTCAGGTTGGACCATGAGGGGGAACAGCCATATAAAGCCCCCCAAAGCTCATAAACCAGAGGATTTGTGGGGTACCTTTCTGGGTTCACAGTTGTGAGATATTCTTTTAATCTAGGAATTTGACCCTGTCGAATGCCAAATCCAATAGTCCCTCCAAGGAAAGGGTCAAATTCACTTCCTGCAAACACAGAGGATGTAACCCAAGCCTCACTTGCGATCCACTGTATGCCTGTCACATTCTGTTCCATGTAATCTCTCAAGAAAGGTGTGAGCTCACCTTCAGCTGAAAACACCACTACTACACGGGCAGTGGAGTGGCTCATGACATGTATTATTTCCAGCGCCTTCTGACGATCATATAACAAAGGGATCATCTTCTGATAAGCAACACATATGCCTGTACCCTCCAGCTCCTTCAGTAAGCCCTGAAGGGCAAAGCGGCCATACTCGTGATCTCCTCGTATCACTCCGATCCATGTCCAGTTAAAATGCCGCAGGAGTTTGGCAATGGCCTTCACTTGATAAGCATCACTAGGTATGACTCTGAAGAATGTGGGGAATTCTCTCCTATCACTCAGACAGGCACATGATGAAAAATAACTGATCTGTCGAAATCAAGGTCATTTTGTAACATTATCTAAAAGCTTTTGGAAACATAATTCAGTTTTAAATTACACTGCACAGGTTTCACGGAACATTGATAAGATTGTGTTCATGATTAACTTATCATGATGAGAACAGTGGTTCTACTATCACTAAAAAGTGCACACAAACACTATAAAATGCTATTTAGTGAATGATAAACAATGAAAACAATTCACTTTAGACTCACCATTGGTATCCCAAAAGGTTGCAAAATTCTAGAAACTACAATAGACTGAGCTGACCCAGATTCTCCTATCACAGCAAGCAGTGGAGCAGCATCTGCACACAAGGGGCTTTCTAGTTCATTTGGCCCATTTAGAACAGCCACTGCTGATCTCTGTCCTGTCAGAGGGTAAGCACAAGAGTCAAAGATTTTGTAACCCAAAGTGTAGTTAGGAAGGAGATCAACTCGCTTGTTAATTTCTTCCACTGCAAGTTTCATTGTAATGGCCCATCTAAAAGCTCTCGTATCAAACCTGCAGATGACATAAACGGAGAAGAAAACTTAAAAAGCATCAACACTTTTACACAGGTTTAAATGTTTTCAAACAAGACACCTTTCAAGATTCTTAGAATAAATCGATACGTATTTACATACTGTGCACACATAAAGCTCTCACCCATTACATTTGACCGGCCCAGGTTTGTAAGTAAAGTTGAGGTCTGGCATTTCCTGATTATAGTGTAAAGGAAAAATACCACCTATTACAAAATCTCCATTAGCCATGAGGCCTGGCTCAAATTCATTTTGCAGTAGGCATTTGGAAGCTTGTGCGGGATTGAGTACACTGAGATGGTAAACCAGTAGCCACAGAAGCAGGATAGTCATTGTCTCTAATGAATGCATCGCTCAGCATGACTAGAGTAGGCAGGGCAACCTGTTATATATATAGCAGATACAGGTTCCTTTGCATCTCATTATGCATCACAGTCAGATGTCATTAACAGGATTCAAAATACTCATTTTCACAAATATATTTTATTAATGTATTCTTTTTACAACAGTAGTACAACCTAAGAGCTGTAATCCTTAGAAAGAAGGGACATTTGTGTTTGCATTATGAGATGTATAAAATGTTGTTTTGGTGCACAAGAATGCATACAGACCTTTTCTTTTTCTTACATTTTTATGTTAAAAATATCCCTTCAGAATAAACATAGCATACCATAATAGACAAACTGTGCTATTTATATTATTCATCATGTTATAACTTTTCCCATGAGATGCTGCTTGGTGTTTTTCTCTGGCTTCATTAAAATAATGTAACATTTGGGGGCAAATAAACAAAGAAGCAGGCCAAAACTAGAAGCTAGTATAGCAAAAATCTCCACAGCAGTTGTAAACTTACCAGGCTGGCTGACATATGCAGGTACAAAAGCTAGCCATACTGCGCAAAATATAATCATGCTAAAGGTGATGTATTTGGCCTCATTAAAATTACCTGGTAATTTCCGGGCCAGAAAAGCCAGAAAAAAGCAGACACAAGCTAAAAGACCGATATATCCCAGCACACACCAAAAAGCCAGATCAGAGCCCACACTGCAATCCAGAATGATCTTGGACTGTTGATATTTAGTGTTTCTATAGGGAAATGGTGGGGATACTACAAGCCAGACTGTACATATGAGCACCTGAACGAGAGTGCAGCAGAAAATGATGATTCTCTGCTGTGTAGGGCCCAACCATTTCATTATATTGTTTCCAGGTCGGGTCGCTGTGAAAGCAGCCAGCACCACTAAAGTCTTTCCCAAGATGCAAGAGATGCAAAGCGAGAAGGTGATGCTGAATGCAGTGTGCCGAAGCATACAAGACCAGGATGTGGGTTCCCCGATAAATATCAAAGCACACAGAAAACAAAGAGTCAGTGATAACAAGATGAAGAAACTGAGTTCAGAGTTATTCACACGGACTATAGGGGTTCCTTTGTTGTACAGAAAAATCACCAGCACAGTGATGGTCAAAAAGGCTCCTATTACAGCTATGACAGTTAAGGTCATTCCCATCGCATCATGGGAGAGAAATTCAATCACTTTTGGTACACATGATGTACCATTTGCATTTGACCAATAGTCCTCAGGACATGGCAGGCAATCTACTGAATCTAAAAAATAAAAATATATTTTTACACTGCACAGGCCATGGAGGATATCAAACAATTACAATAATGAGAGCATATTCAAGATGCAGCAAGGAAGCTTACAAGCAAGGTGACTCTACCTGTCTGATTACTGATCTTGCCACTTTCACATGGAACACAGTCAAAGCAGCACAAAGGTTGCCCACGACAGGCAGCTGTCCTAAATCCTGGTGCACACCTATAACTGCACACAGACACGGGCACCTATAAAAAAGTACATGTAATAAGAAATTAGATACATGTTTAATTATTGTTTTCTTTATTGATACACAGCATACACAACCAAATGTTCAGATAGAAATTCTAACAAAATCAAGACAATAGGGGTTATTTCACTGAAATATCAGATGGCAGTGTAGTGTACAGTCAACACCTTGCCTTAGTCTGTTGGTTAGACCATGTAATGGCCTGCTCCTCAATCACCAGTTCTTTGCCAGAATGCTGAGCACCATCATAGAGGCCCACTTTAACAAACTGCATATCTCCACTTGCACTTCTTTGCCAGTTTATTAAATCATAATATGGAACTGAGTCTCCTTTATTATCAAAGTTAACATTTTGTCCAGATATTGAGAAGGAAACATCCTCAAGGTAATGCTTCAGCTTTGGAGAACAAACAACCAAACAAATGAAGGAGTAATATTCAAATAATAAAAATTGAAAAAGAAGACAAGATAAACATAAGGACAATTTTGTTTGCAATTTAAAGGAGTAACATATAAATTATTTACAAGGTTTTATTTACTATTATTTATTTATATTTGTTATTGGCCTATATGTAAAACTCTGTTTCTTTTAATTTTGAATAAGCAGTTCCCACCATACCCTAAAACACTTTTACCTGCCATGGAAACACATTGTTGAGGTTCGCACATGAGAAATTCTCAAATGGCCCATGTCCATTTCTACATTCAATAAGATTATGAAGAGAATGAGCAAAGGCATACACCGCTTTGTAAACATTGTAGGTCACACGAGGGCTGGATGTGTTCATGTAGGCAGAGTATTCTTTTCTGAGAGTTTCTTTTCCTGTGCATGAGGGTAAATGACTGCTCAAGGTGGATGTGGATGGAGAACAACCATACAAAGCCTCCCACAGTTCCTGAACCTGAGGAATAGAAGGGTACTTTTCTGGAGTGACGGTCCTGATGTAATCCTGAAGACCTGGGACGTGTCCTTGACGGATTGCAAAGCCAATTGTGCCATCTAAAAATGAATATGTCTCTGCTAACATTGATGCTGTAACCCAAGCCTCACTTGCAATCCACTGAATTCCAGTGATATTTTGAGCCACAAACTCTCTTAAAACAGGATAAAACTCTCCTTCTACTGAAAAAACAACAACTACCTTGGCTGTTGATTCCTTCATTACTTTAAGAATCTTCAAGACTCGTTCCTGGGTATAGTCTTTTGGAATCATTTCATGATAAGCCAAACAAATATTTGTATTTTCAATTTCTCGCTTTAAGCCTTGTAAAGCAAATCTGCCATAATCATGGTCTTCAGTCACAACACCAATCCATGTCCAGTCAAACCTCTTTAAAAGCTGTGCAATCGCTTTGACCTGGTAGTCATCACTAGGAACCACTCTGAAAAATGTCGGGAACTGCTTTCGATCACTTAGACAAGAGCAGGTGGAGAAATAGCTTATCTATAATAATAATAATAATAATATTAATAAATAAATTTTAAAAAGTTAATTAATTATTATATATATATATATATATATATATATATATATATATATATATATATATATATATATATATATATATATATATATATATATATATATATATATATATAAAATATAAAATTAATATACCATAGGTATTTGAAAGGCTTGCACTGTTCTGGAGAGAACAATAGACTGTGAAGATCCAGATTCTCCTATTAATCCTATTAAAGGGCCAGCCCCAGAGCACATAGAACTTTGAACAACTTCCTGCCCATTCATTACAGCCAGAACTGCTTTCTGAGCTGTTACAGGAGTAGAGCAAGAGTCAAATATTTTGTAAGCAAGTGTAAAATTGTTGAGGAGATCTTTTCTATTGTTTATCTCCTCCACAGCAAGCTTCATAGAGAGAGCCCAACGGAAAGCTCTTGGATCAAACCTACATTTTAGATAAATAAAAAATAAGGGAATGAATTGTTACATAATAACTTTTGTAAAAAATGTTTTAGAACATTGATTGATTTCAATAACTGTAATACTAATTATAAAACAACTGAAATGATGAATGGAAGAGAAGCAACTGAAAAATAACAAACGTCATTACCCACGACACTGTGCTGTTAAAGGTTTCTTCATATAGTCTGTTGGTGGAAGCTTTACTCTGTAATGTAAAGGAAAAATTCCTCCTATTGTGAAGTCTCCACTAGTCATGAAAACTGGCAGATCAAAGTCATGTGGGGAGCAGATTAAAGCCATAGACGCACTGGAAAGATGAAATATCGACATGAAAATGTAAATCATTGCTCTAACTCCAAAAGCACACAGATAAAGTTGTTTCTATTTCCAAAGGTTTTATATGGTTAGTCATTTTCATCTCATTATGTATGGTTCCACGCGTTGCAGAATTTGCTAAATTGAGAGGAGAGTAATATCACCTATGATGCAACAGTTCAGGCATGAATATGTAAACCCTCATTTAAATACAACCCATCATCAAACTTTGTTGACATAATGAGTGTTATATATAAAATATATAGCTGAAGCTACATTTATTAGCCCTCCTGTGAAATATAAATTCTTTTTAAATATTTCCCAAGTGTTGTTTAATGGATTGAAGATTATTGCTTAAAGTGTAATTTAAAGAGTTTACTTGGTTATAATGTAAACTAGGCAGGTTAGGAGAATTAGGTAAGTTATTTGATAACTCTGGTTTGTTTTAATTCTTAAAATAATCCTTAAAGAGTCTAATAAAATTTACCTTAAAATTTAAAAAGTGTAAAAAAAAAAAAATTTTCCAGCCAAATAAACTTCACTTAAGATATATAAAAAAGAAAAAAAAATCACAGAAGGGCTAATATATATATATATATATATGTGTGTATGTATGTAGAGATGCACGGGTCAGCTGAAATGACACCCGAATTCGCAGCTTTATACTAATCATCCACCTGCAGCCCTATATATCAGATATAGTTTTATCTGATATATATAGTTGATGTCAAAATTATTAGCCCCCCTGAATTATTTGCCCTTATTTAAATTTTTTTTCCCAATTTCTGTTTGACGAAGAGAAGATTTTTTTTCAACACATTTCTAAACATAATTTTAGAAATTGGGAAACGTTTTTTTTTTTTTTTTTTTTTTTTGCAGTGGATAGTTTTAATAACTCATCTCTAATAACTGATTTATTTTATCTTTGCCATGATGACAACTATTAATATTTTGCTAGATATTTTTCAAGACACTTCTATACAGCTTAAAGATACATTTAAAGGCTTAACTAGGTTAATTAGGTTAACTAGGCAGGTTAGGGTAAATAGACAAGTTAATGTATGATGATGGTTTGTTCTGTTGACCAGCGGTTCCCAACAGGGGGTCGCGGCCCACAAGGGGGCCTAAGCGAGGTTTGTGGGGGGTCGCGTCATATTTTTAAAAATCTTAGCAGTGAACAATTAGGAGAATGATCATGTTGCCTTCATTTTATCCCCTAGCTCAGTAGTCCTTAACCATCGGTCCTTGGATCAATTGGTTCCGGGCCGCAAGAAATCATTAATTATTTGCGTTTTACTTATTATCTGAGTCTGAACGATCTTTTATTTTGAAAAGTCTTTTATTTTGAAAAATGACCGTACTCTTGCTTACATCTTGGTCACTTTAGCGATCAAATTTAACCCACAAGCAGCAAAATGAGTAAGAAACAGACGTCTTAGGAAAGTTTCTTTGCAAAGGGAAAAAGACCCAGTGAACGACCTGGGTACTGCCAAGGAACAGATCCGCAACCCACTTGTCAACAAATCAGGTGAATCCACCATGGCTGTGCAAGAAGATCAACTGATGGAGATTGCAAATGATCACAGCCTTTAAGGTGCTATTTGTATATTGCGTATTTCTAGAGTCTGCACAAGTTTATTTTTCCAATGGAGGTGCGCGGCTTATGCGCACAAGCGGCGTGATGCACTCGCACCAATGAACTCCGGGCCACAAGCACACTGCATGTCACGTGACAAAAATTGATCAATCAGCTTCAGCTTGTATGGAATATTCACATTTCGGTAAGACTAATTTTCGCAGTCAAACACTGAACACACAAACACTGCAGTCCTTTGTACTTTTCTTCATAAATTAAACTTGTATCAGAAAGTGACAGCAATGTTTTGTCAGTTTGTCATTCTCTGAGAAAACGGTTGATGGTCGCATAGCAACCTACAAAGCACTCATCCCCCCCCCCCAGTAAAATTGCAAACGTTGACTGGTGCGTGGTGATAAAATGGTTGAGGATCCCTGACCTGGCTGACCAAAAATGGACAAATTTATAATCCTTCCTCCACAAAAAAAAACAGAGTCTTACGAATTCGCCTCGCAGAAATCCTCACTCTAATTGTAATAGCCTATATTATTTTTTCCCTTATAAACTTGTGTAAATACTGATATTTTTGTCATCGAATTTCAAATAGAGTCAATTTAAAGGCCAAAGGCTTATGTTTTTCAGTTACAAATGGCCTACTGATGTTTTGCTTTTATAATTTACATTAGGCTTTTATTCATTCATTCATTTTTTTCGGCTTAGTCCCTTTATTATACCCTTCCAGTTGCAACCCATCTCTGGGATACATTAGGCTTTTATTTGTGCATAAACATATCTAGATATAGTGATAAACAAACCGTTTGTTTGAAAACCAATTTTTTTGTCATCATAACTGCAAACATATATGAGCGATTATATCATTAAATGTGCAGGGGGGCCTTACAATATTTTCCAGGGGAAAAGGGGGTCTCAGGTTAAAAAAAAAAAAAGGTTTGGAACCACTGCTGTAGACTATTGAAAAAATATATAGCTTAAACGGGCTAATAATTTTGTACTTAAAAAAAAAAATGCTTTTATTCTAGCCAAAATAATATGAATAAGAGTTTCTCCAGAATAATAATACTAAAAAAAAAACATTATCAGACATACTTTAAAAATTCTCTTGCTCTGTTAAACATCATTTAGGAAATGTAAAAAAAAATCAAAGGGGGGCTTATAATTCTGACTTCAACTGTATAAATATATCCGCACCCGACCCGTGCCCGATTGTCACTTTAATAATTTAATTCTTTGTTTTAGGCATGATGATAGGTCACCGTGGATATTAACAGCAGATTCAGTGAGCTATAATCTGCGCAGCTCAGATAGTAAAATAATGTTAATCTTAAACGTTTTTAAATGAAAATTTATTCATAAAAACAAAAGTGTCTTTAGACAACTTTTTCTTCATTTTCAAATACAGAAAGTAAAAATAAGACATTTTAGCTTTTACGAATACAGGAACAAGATAACAAAAAGGGTGCCAATTTACTTGGCCCTTTTCTGTACACTGTGCAAAAAACAGCATCTACTGTGCCTGAATTCGGATGATAACGCTCGCATCACTTGTTGTAGGAATGAACAAGATTATCCCCACAAGGAGCTGTAGTCGTGTAAATAAGCGATCTTGTTTCTTCCAGAACTAGAGCAGATTTTCGTCTGATGACTCCTCTAACTAAAACTTTGAACAGTAGGATACTCTTGCACTTTATCCACTATTTTTCACGTCCCATCTTCCCATTCTGCAAAGCCCACTCTCTGCTTTTTCGCTGGCCAACTGCCATGTCCTGCTACATCCAGCCACAATTAATCATAACGTATTTTTTTATTACCCAACCCGCCCGACCTGCGGATTATATGCACACACAGTCACACACACATTGTTATCCTGTGCAAATTTACATTAAAGGAGGGTCTAACTGTTAATGTATTCTGCTGAACAAGCAACAATCCCAAAAAATGTGATTACAAACCATCTAAATCAAATAATAACTTGGGGGCAGATTAAAAAAAAGACTAGTATGAACCTGTAACTTAACCATATAAAAAATATTAAACTTGTAGGTGTGAGGGGTAAAGGTCTGCATGTATTATACTTTCACTCATACTATTTGGTTTCTGTTGTTGGGTCCATTTCATATGAATTAAAATGGACAGTGAATGTATAGACAGTCTTTATTTTGTTTATTTTGTTGTTACTTTTTTTATTTAGACTTTATTTTTTATTGCAAAAACCAGTGGCTACAGTGTAGGTTACATAACCTAGAGATCAGTTAACATCTTCATTGTCTATTGTTATTTTACGTAAACATTTCTGACAAGCTTGTTGGAATCATGAAACTTGAAAAACAAATTGAATACTACAAAAATAAAAAATAAATGCATAGGATATTGACTCTGTCCCTAAAATATTTAAAAGTTCATAGTTGAAGATAATATTTGGATTTCATGTTTATAGCATTTTTATCATTTTTAATTTTTTTGAAAATCTGTACAAACACTATTCATTTTGTGACTTTTCCAATTAAATGTTGCTTGGTGTTTTTCTCTGGCTTCACTAAAATAATGTAACATTTTGGAGCAAACAAGCAGAAAAGCAGGCCGAAACTAGAAGCTAGTATAGCAAAAATCTCCACAGCAGTTGTAAACTTACCAGGCGAACTGACATATGCAGGCACAAAAGCTAGCCATACAGTGCAAAATATAATCATGCTGAAGGTGATGTATTTGGCCTCATTAAAATTACCTGGTAATTTCCGGGCCAGAAAAGCCAGAAAAAAGCAGACACAAGCTAAAAGACCGATATATCCCAGCACACACCAAAAAGCCAGATCAGAGCCCACACTGCAATCCAGAATGATCTTGGACTGTTGATATTTAGTGTTTCTATAGGGAAATGGTGGGGATACTACAAGCCAGACTGTACATATGAGCACCTGAACGAGAGTGCAGCAGAAAATGATGATTCTCTGCTGTGTAGGGCCCAACCATTTCATTATATTGTTTCCAGGTCGGGTCGCTGTGAAAGCAGCCAGCACCACTAAAGTCTTTCCCAAGATGCAAGAGATGCAAAGTGAGAAGGTGATGCTGAATGCAGTGTGCCGAAGCATACAGGACCAGGATGTGGGTTCCCCGATAAATATCAAAGCACACAGAAAACAAAAAGTCAGTGATACCAAGATGAAGAAACTGAGTTCAGAGTTATTCACACGGACTATAGGGGTTCCTTTGTTGTACAGAAATATCCCCAGCACAGTGATGGTCAGAAAGGCTCCTGCTACAGCTATCACAGTCAAGGTCATTCCCATCGCATCATGGGAGAGAAATTCAATCACTTTCTGGATGCACTCTGTTCTATTTACATTGGACCAATAGTCTTCAGGGCAAGACAGACAATCTACTGAATCTTTCAAAGAAAAAAAAGAAAGAAAACCATATGAAGTGCATTGGAATTAAATATGACAGCATGAATAAATGGTGTCTTTATATAATTTTTGTCAATAGGAAAACATGCATCACAGAGCTCTGACCTGTCTGATTACTGATCTTGCCAATGTCACATGGAACACAATCAAAACAACACAGAGACTGCCCATGTCGGACAGCCTTCCTGTATCCTGGAGTGCAGCCGTTACTGCATACAGAAACAGGTACCTAAATTAAAATTATTTTTATTATAACCTCTTCCCAAGAATATGAGTCTCCAAATAACAGAATGCAATACCAGATGCATTGTCAGTTTTAGCATAATGAAACAGCACATCTTTTTATCAAATGTATAAAGGCTTAATGAGCACATACTGTATAGTGACAGTTATATTATTAGAACAACAGATGGCAGTGTAGTGTGCAGTCAACACCTTGCCTTAGTCTGTTGGTTAGACCATGCAATAGCCTGCTTCTCAATCACTAGTTCTTTGCCAGAATGCTGAGCACCATCATAGAGGCCCACTTTAATAAACTGCATATCTCCACTTGCACTTCTTTGCCAGTTTATTAAATCATAAGATGGTATTGCATCTCCCTTGATATCAAAATTAACTTCCTCTCCAGAAATAGAGAAGGATATTTCCTGTAAATAATGTTGAAGCTGAAGACAGCAGAGGGAAAAATGGAGATGATTAAAACAAATATCCACATCTAGACAGTTCATGTGCAATATAATAACTAATCTACTTAAACACAAGTTATCATCAAATCCTCAAGTACTTTTACCTGCCATGGAAACACATTGTTGAGGTTCGCACATGATAAATTCTCAAATGGCCCATGTCCATTTCTACATTCAATAAGATTATGAAGAGAATGAGCAAAGGCATACACCGCTTTGTAAACATTGTAGGTCACACGAGGGCTGGATGTGTTCATGTAGGCAGAGTATTCTTTTCTGAGAATTTCTTTTCCTGTGCATGAGGGTAAATGACTGCTCAAGGTGGATGTGGATGGAGAACAACCATACAAAGCCTCCCACAGTTCCTGAACCTGAGGAATAGAAGGGTACCTTTCTGGAGTGACGGTCCTGATGTAATCCTGAAGACCTGGGACGTGTCCTTGACGGATTGCAAAGCCAATTGTGCCATCTAAAAATGAATATGTCTCTGCTAACATTGATGCTGTAACCCAAGCCTCACTTGCAATCCACTGAATTCCTGTAATATTCTGAGCCACAAACTCTGTCAAAAAAGGGTAAAATTCCCCTTCCCCTGAAAAAACAACAACCACCTTGGCTGTTGATTCCTTCATAACTTTAAGTATCTTCAAGACTCGTTCCTGGGTATAGTCTTTTGGAATCATTTCATGATAAGCCAAACAAATTTTTGTATTTTCAATTTCTCGCTTTAAGCCTTGTAAAGCAAACCTGCCATAATCATGGTCTTCAGTCACAACACCAATCCATGTCCAGTCAAATCTCTTTAGGAGCTGTGCAATCGCTTTGACCTGGTAGTCATCACTTGGAACCACTCTGAAAAATGTCGGGAACTGCTTTCGATCACTTAGACAAGAGCAGGTGGAGAAATAGCTTATCTATAATAATAATAAATTCATAAAAAAACCTAAGTTATATATAGTTGTATGTATGTATGTATATGTGTGTGTGTGTGTGTGTGTGTGTATATGCACACTTATTAATATACCATAGGTAAATATAATACCATTGGTATTCTGAAAGGCTCCAAAGTTCTGGAGACAACAATTGATTGTGAGGATCCAGACTCCCCAATTAATCCTAATAAGGGGCTAGCTCCAGAGCACATGAAACTTTGAACAACGTCCTGTCCATTCAGCGCTGCCAGGACTGCTTTCTGAGCCATTACAGGAGTTGCACAAGAGTCAAAGATTCTATAGGCAAGAGTGTGTTCTGGTAAGAGGTCTTTTCGATTGTTTATCTCTTCTACGGCCAGTCCCATTGTGAGAGCCCAGTGAAAAGCCATTGGATCAAACCTGAATTAAAAACAAAACAATTATTTCATTAAAAATCCTAAAGAACATTTATGAAGTCGCCTTTTAGAAAGTATTGTAATACATTAGATGGGGTTTTCATAATGTAAATGAGATAATAGATTTAATAAACAGTTTGGGGAAAAATATAATTGATAAGACATATCCTTACCCTCGACACATTGCTGTTAAAGGTTTCTTCATATAGTCTGTTGGTGGAAGCTCTACTCTGTAATGTAAAGGAAAAATTCCTCCTATTGTGAAGTCTCCACTAGTCATGAAAACTGGCAGATCAAAGTTCCCTCTTGGAATACATCTTGAAGTCATAGCTGCACTGGAAAGATGAAAAATACAAAGAAAAATATGAATCATTGTATTGTTAGCCTCCTCTACTCAAAAGGCAAGAAGATGCAACTTCTGTCTTTGGTTTTATATGTTAGTCATGCATGAAATTATGCATGACGTCTTTCTGAGTTATATATTGACTCAGGTGGGCTATGATGTTTCCCAAGATGCCTCAAACTAAAACTATATTTGTCTGTTTTTTAGACACATTGCATAATACTAATAATCTATTATGTAGGCTTGTTAATAGAATTTATTAAATCTATTTTATTAAATGTAACTTATTAAATCGAATTAATTGGACTCAATTCCATATTTGAATACTTGTGTAACTCTGGCTGTGTTTCTGTTTAGTTTTGTTATCTATGTCACATACTTCCATGTAAGCTCTCCTGTGTTCCTTAGTTTCCTTATTAGTTGCTTTGGTTTTTTATTGTCTCCACCCTCATGCAATCCAATTAGTTAATTATGCTATTATCTGTCACAGTATTCAAGCCCTCTGGTCTTAGCCCTTGTTGTCAGTAGTTTTAAGTCACCCCTGTGATGTTTGCATGATCTCTGTTTGTTGTTTTGTTTAGTTTTTTTACAATGGCTATGACAGTTTTTTCAATACATTTTACAAACTCTTAACACAGTTACGTTTTATAATACATAATACAATTTATAAACTCGTAAAACAGTTAGCACAACAACCGTCTTAGTTGGCTTTACAATTAACACATTTCTTGTTGCTTAGACACAAAATGCATCTAGTTAACACCAATTTAAAATGCTTAAACATATTTTACAAACAGGCTCAACCAAGACCAAAACAATGTAATATTACAGTCAAATTTACCAATGTTCTGTTCAATGTTTTGTTTAAGTAAACAGTGTGCTAGCTGCATTTGTATCCTACATGCACAGAGGTGATAACTTGCTTTTTACAGATTTTTCCAATTGTTTACACAATTACTTGTACTTCAGACACAATGACTACAACATGTAACTGATGCACCAACCCCCTGAACCAACTCTGCTAAACTACAAGCACAATTCCTGCTTTACACTCAAATTGCAGTTTTAAAACACACTTTTTACTGTTTTTTTTTACTGTTCAACTGATCTTATGAATGTCTATTCATGTGATGGCTTGTGTGTGTCATTTGAAAACAAAAGATCATTTTGAGAAGAAATCACATTGTTTTGAATGTAGTTTTATTTTGCAGAAGAATTGATGAGTTTTGCCCAATGTGTGTGTTTTGTGATTTGTGTGTAGAGATCTGACAAAATGAGACATGCTTTCAGAAAATGTGTGTAAACAATTGGAAAAAACTGTAAGCCACAAAACAAACACAAAAGCCATATGTCAAATGCTACAGGTTTTTTCAGAGTGTAAAATTAATTTAAATTACTTTATACTTTACTAACCACTTTTTACACCCCTCTAGCAACCTATTTATTTCTAAATACACTAACTTTTTATATTTTTTAAAGATTTTGTTTTTATGTATGGCAATGTATGACAATATAGTAACCAGCGATCTTCGCCACTGGAGAACTATACACAAGCCACAGTTAAGAACTACAAATCCTATCAAGCACCACACACACACCTGTTCCGTTTTTCCCTGATCACACTTGCAAGCACACACTCACAGCTGAAGCTCTTCATTGTTTTATTACCTGGACTATAAAGAGAGCACTCATACACATCTGGGCTGAGTCTTGTTGTCTGTTAAAATGTGATATTACGATGTTTTGATCCTTGCTTTGTTTTGTTTGTTTATGTAGTTTGCCGCCTAAACCGACAACTCTCATTTTTATTGACCTCGACATTGGATTATCTGCATATATCTTTTTGCACCTATTTTGATTGTTGCCTGCATGACCATTTTGCCTAATAAACTACATGTGGATCCTCAAACTCTGTTGTCAGCATCTGTTACAGAAGACTCAACCGCTCAATGGATCCAGCAAGTATTCTTATTATGTGTCTCCTTCAGGGGAAGCAATCTATTGAGGATTATGGAAAGGATTTTATTCAGTTAGCCCACTACTATGGACAAACTCTATATGAAATTCTTTTTAAGGGGGCTATTTTAGTGACAGTTCAAAGGAGGGACGTTTTAACATTCAAGCACATGAAAAAAGTGGACAACTTCAGTTAAAGATTCGGCTTCATCAAAGCAATCAAGAAAAACGTTCGAGGTTACTAAAGTAACCCTTCGTTCCCCGAGGAGGGGAACGGAAGCACTATAAGTGGATTTGATTGTAAAATCCACGCATTGGGAGGATTTGGATCAGAAGCCGCTTGTCTGGAGAGTATTGAACGGGCCAATGAATGAAATTAATTGGCAGCGTAAGCTTGCGCAGGTGTGCGACATCTGCAATTATCTCAGCATATAAGCACACCTGAAGCCAGCAGACGCCATCCTTTTAAGCTGAAGAGACTTTCAAACAGCTAAGGGACAGTCATTATGGCGACGGAGTATAGTGCTTCCGTTCCCCTCCTCGGGGAATGAAGGGTTACTTTAGTAACCTCGAACGTTCCCCTTCGGGGGGAACTTCAGCACTATAAGTGGATTTGATTGTAAAATCCACGCATTGGGAGCCCATTGAAAGCGCCATAATGACTGCACCTTACCAACACCCCCGATGAGGAGATAGTCAAGCAAGCGTGACGCACCCACATCATGGGGGGCGCGGTCCTCCAACGTGTCCCTGGCCCTAATTTATCCTACTTCAACAGAAGTTTTACGGATTTAGATATATTTTTTGGGAAGTCGTGAACATCTAGATAATTCTAGGAAATACGACAGTACGTTGGGAAGCGTGCAATCCCGATAGGGAGGACGCTGCGGAGGCCATCCGTTACCCAAGGGGGGGATAGATGGCAGAATTTACATATGGACTAGCCCTAAAAAGGGGGAGTACGCATAGCAAAAGAGTGGTTAGCGGAGAGGGAAGACACGGGTCCGCCCAGGGGGGGGGGACTTAACCGTGGCGGAATAAGCATATGGGATCGCCTAGTGGGGACCACGCATAGCAGGCACCTATACCCAAAACGCGGGCTGACCAGCGGGCAGACCTACAACGTAGTGGGCCAGCAAGTGACTCCTCCGCTGAGTCAGTGCTGGGGGCCACGGAGGAATCTGCAGGGCTCACCTGACGGGGAACTTTACTGACAGATAAAAAGGCGCACGTACCTCCGTGTTAGGGAGAATGGCGCAGCAAGCGTGTTTCAACACCCTACCGAGTTGTCTCCTCAATCACCAAAGGGTTACCTAATACCCTTGAGGAAACCGGCTCCACTTGCAGATTGTAAAACCTTGCAAATGTGTTGGGTGTTGCCCAGCCCGCAGCTCTACAGATGTCTGTTAGAGAGGCGCCGCGTGCACGCGCCCAAGAGGATGCAACGCTCCGAGTGGAGTGTGCACGAACTCCCGGGGGACACGGCTGACCTCGACTCGAATAAGCGAGTGAAATGGCATCCACAATCCAGTGGGATAATCTTTGTTTCGATACGGCACTTCCCTGCTGCCGACCGCCATAACAGACAAAGAGCTGCTCAGATGATCTAAAATTCTGAGTACGGTCCACATAAATGCGCAGAGCGCGAACTGGACAAAGTAAAGAAAGGGCTGGGTCTGCCTCCTCCGGGGGCAGCGCTTGCAGGTTCACTACCTGATCTCTAAAGGGGGTGGTAGGAACCTTGGGCACATAACCGGGGCGGGGTCTCAGGATGACGTGAGAGTAATCCGGCCCGAATTCCAGGCACGAGTCACTGACCGAAAATGCCTCCAGGTCCCCGACCCTCTTGATGGAGGCCAACGCAACCAGCAGAGCTGTCTTCAGGGACAGAAATCTTAGAGATACTGATTCGAGTGGCTCAAAGGGATCGGATCGCAGACTCGTGAGAACGAGGGCGAGATCCCAAGAGGGCATGAGAGGGGGGCGAGATGGATTAATTCGCCTAGCACCCCTAAGGAACTGGATGACCAGGTTATGCTTTCCCACGGTGCCGCCAGCTACCGCGCTATGATAAGCGGAGATGGCGGCCACGTAAACCTTGAGAGTGGAGGGCGACAGCCTGCTGTCCAACTTCTCTTGAAGGAAAGAGAGCACAACACTAATCTGGCAATTTCGGGGGTCTTCTCTGCGAGAGACGCACCATTCAGTGAATAGACTCCACTTCAGGGCGTAGGCGCGCCTCGTGGAGGGGGCTCTAGCCTGAGTGATGGTATTAACCACCGCAGTCGGTAGGTTACCTAAGTCTTCCTCGCGTCTAGGGACCACACGTGGAGGTTCCAAAGATCGGGGCGAGGGTGCCAGATGGTGCCCTGTCCCTGAGAGAGTAGGTCCTCTCTCAAAGGGATCCGCCAGGGGAGGGCCGTCGCGAGGAGTGAGAGCTCTGATATCCAGGTCCGGTTGGGCCAAAGGGGCGCAACTAGCAGAACCTGTTCCTCGTCCTCCCTGACCTTGCACAGAAACTGCGCGAGCAGGCTCACTGGGGGAAACGCATACTTGCGCATGCCCCGAGGCCAGCTGTGGACCAGTGCATCCGTGCCGAGAGAGCCCTCGGTCAGGGAAAAAAACAACTGGCAGTGAGCGTTCTCGGGGGAAGCAAACAGATCGATCTGGGCCTCCCCGAATCGCGCCCATATCAGCTGAACAGACTCGGGGTGGAGTCTCCATTCTCCAGGGCGTAACAGCTGTCGTGAGAGCGCATTGGCTGCACGATTGAGCGTGCCTGGGACGTGAATGGCGCGCAGCGATTTCAGCCGCGGGTGACTCCAGAAGAGCAGACGGCGGGCGAGCTGAGACATGCGGCGAGAGCGCATACCCCCCATGCGGTTGATATACACCGCCGCCGCCATACTGTCCGTCCTGACCAGCACGTGTTGCCGCTCCAGCACCGGTAAAAAGCGGTGGAGAGTGAGGAACACTGCCAACAGCTCTAGGCGATTGATATGCCAATGCAGCTGGCCCCCCTTCCAGAGGCCCGCAGCCGCATGCCCGCAACACACGGCCCCCCAACCCGTGTTGGAAGCGTCTGTTGAAACAACAAC